TATTATAGTGATAGGAAGCATGTGTAGGTATTGTTGGTATTTAGAAATTTGAAATCATGATGTTATGATGTAAATTATAATTGTTGATATACCAGAGAGTATTAGAAATAGAGAGTACACGAAGAGTTATTGATAAGAACGCTTGAAGTTTACTTAGATTTTGAATTTTTTAAGATTCTCTAGAGTTGGATGCCGTACGTTATTGCAGGACGTAATATTTGTTTATAAATTAATGTTTTTCTCCTCGATTTTTATAATAGATTAGCTTTGAGTTGAATGCTTTTTACGTAAATACCTACTATGGAGCAGAGATGATTTGACGAAGGCAAGTGGACTGAAAACCTTGGATAGTTCTAAGATTTGAGAGGGTTTGGTGGAGCCTCATATCTGGATACCATAATCCTGCATTGGTCTTATAATAGCTTTATTCATTAAAAATTTATTGCGGTTGTTTAATTTGGAACGGAGAATTGGGCCAGAGTAAATTTAGTCTAGACTCTAGACTCTAGTCTACGGATTTCCATTTATTTTTAAGTTGTTTAGTCTAAGATCAGTTGTCGTCTGTCAAATGTTAAACCCAAATATTTGACTACGGTGGTTGTTGAAATTATTTCATTGCTAATTGAAATAGGAGGGCAATCATTAAATGATTTTGGTCTTAGTAAAAAGATAATACAAAAAGATTTGAAATCATTTATTTTTATTTTCCATTTTTTAGACCAGATCTGGATCATATTGTAATTATTTAAATGTGTGTTGCGAATTTTGTGACACGGCCGCCGAATTTGTGTTGTTTTGTCCGTTGTGGCGTTAGCATCGGCATAATTTTTTTTATTCATTTTAATTGTTTGTTTTTCCACAGTTTTGTTTTATATTATGAGGACACCAAGTGTCCCTACATTTTTAAATAATCATAATATTTATTACATGTGTGCTAACGCCACACAATTTTTCTATTTATATTGTGTGCACGCTATTGTCACTATTTTCTATTTTTTACTGTGTATTATATTTTATATATCGTTTGTGCGAAAATCATCACATTTTTATACTTATTGTTTTTTTAATATTTATTAATAAAGATTTATTTTTTTTACCCTTAGCGTGTTTTTTTTTTTTAATGTTATTATTTAAGCTAGAACCAGCTAGCCAGTTTGCGCAATATAAATTATGAGTCATTTTTATACATTAGTATTTCTTACTACTCTTTGTGAAATTGGTGCGTTCACGTGTGGTGTGGGTGTGTGTGTGCGTTGACCAGTGGGGACCGGTTCCCGGAAGTTAGCGATTATACGAACTTTATCGGAATCACGGTGGCTTTTGATCTATTAGTAACATTAGGTATAGCCCGTTGTATAAAAATAATTCTTGTCGGATGATATCTTATCGACTCCCGCTAGACGTTAATGAGTCCGTTTTGGCTCCGGGTCGTTATTCCTTGCCATCTATTGAATGGCCGTATTGCGTCCGGTTTTTTAATTTTACATTATTTTTAAAACTCCAAAAAAAATTTAAGTCAACAAAATTTTTAACCATGCCTACAGAGAATTTCTTCTCACCGTAGCCAGTCCTCAGCCTGTAAATGGGAAGGAAAATGTTGTTGATTGGGAGCCGATACGTCTATACCACTGGCATCGGATCAGAGCCGATACGGCCACCTTCAAATGAAAGGAGGGAGTCGAAACGGACAAATGGGAGCTGATGCGGATACTTCCTTCCTGTCTTTGAAACTTGTTTATTTTTACACGGGTTAAAAAAGTTACCTACAGTTTTATCCTCGTCTCCGTGTATCTAATACCAAATTGACATCGACATTCTTATGTCAACTATATTCAGTAGAAACAAGACATATACATGACATACATGTACCGATGTATCTGTATGTAGTGTAGAATGTGTAGATACTCTCAATTTTTTTTTTATACATGACACTGTACATTTTTATATAAGTCGTCAAAAAATACAACCGTTTCAATGAAATGTACCTCGTATAGTATGTCTTTTAAATAAAAAAACAAAATTTATAACAACACAATTTTTGTTAAGCACTATTCAGTATATATATATATATATGCGCACACACATGCGTGTATATATATATGTATGTGTGTTTGTGTGTGTTTATACACGTACACGATATAGTATATAATTAAATTTATGAAATAATAAAAAAAAATTAATAAAATAAAAACTTAATAATATACTTTACATTTATTTCGTATAGAACGTTTGATAATGAAAATAATTGTGAAACTTAAATTATTGTCTGATTGGCGTTAGCGTGTTTATATGTACACGATTACACATTTACACCCGTGATTATTTCGTATGTACATAATAAATATCATAAAATGATTGAAAAAAAAATATTATTATTAATATAATATGTCTAATTTATTTGAGTATGGTCTATAAAATTTTTAATCGTGCATTGCAAGTATTTACGATATAATTTGTGGAGAACTGTCATATCAATATCGACTATACCTCCCTAGTGATACATATATGATTTTTAAATTTTTAATTCGTAATTCTGTAAAATATTATTAGTAATTCATTAAAATAAGAACTGATTTAATAAATTGTGCTCAGTATAGGACTTTTTTAAGAAAAATATATAATTTAAAGTCATTATCATCACCGCGCATATATATATGTGTGTGTGTGTGTGTATGTGTGTACTGTTACGTGCTCGATTTCTTGATTCTTCATATGTATCTACTTAATGGATGTCGTATGATGATTGTAAATAATACAATTGTTTACAATGGTTTTATGTATACGAGTATTAATATAATATACAAAATTTAAAACGATCAAGTATCAAAGATATAACATATTACGAACTATCGTAATGATAATGACTATACATTAACAACTTTGATGTATGATTTTTTTAAATATTTTTAATACAAGAATCTGCAGGACAATATTATTAGTATAGGTGATTTAATGTGATAGAACGATTTCAATAAATTATGCTCCGTATAGCACTTATTTTATGATAAACATCCAGTGACAATAGAAATGGCCGCGAGCAGTTTATGGGACAACGATCACTCGGAGATTTTTTTTTACATCCTTCATTTTTATTGTACTTGGGGAACTTGGGCTTATGATTATATTATGTTATATTATATCATATTATGATATTTTCACTTGAAACAAAATGTTTGCTCTTTTTCATAATCAATAATAGTATAAAAATAATGTAAATACCTTAAAAGAACGCGCTCATGTTAAAAAAAAAAAGTCATAATTAAATCTGGTTTTTTATGACTTAGAGTTTTGAAAATGGTATTAGTGTATTCCTCAGTACTTCCACTATCGCCCAATTGTGGATTTTTTAAAACAACAAATCTAAATAACAGTCGTCCAGAGTAATTACAATATTTATCAATGAGATAAATTTTTATGACGATGGTATATTTATCAAGAAACACGCTAATAATACTTTCAAAACATGATTTTGTACAATTTTCTAAAAAGTTTAGCCATGATTTACAAAAATAATATTTTATCATAGGTGGAGGACGTGTACGGTATACATTTCTATTAGTAATGTTGTCTGCTTCAAAAATTCACCAAAAATTCAATTTTTATATCATCGTTTTATAAAACACGTCGTTAGGCCCGTACACGTGACAGCTACACGGTTTATTAGTATTAGAGTTAAGTTTTAAAAAGCATGGTTTCCAAGAGTTATAACATTAACATGATATATCATAGGAATCTTGCACGAAAAATCTATACACATTTTTTCGCTAACCTCCCCCCATAATATAGTACGTCCTGTTAGAAAAATATTCAGTAACAATGTCATAATAATTGCTTCATATCTTATATTTCTAAAATGTTTATATCTTGCGTTTTAAGTGCGCCATTTAACCGATCGTTTCTTACCCGGGTATAATGCTGACTTTCAAGTTGTTTTCATTTTATTTTCATATAGTTTTCATGTGCGTTTCAAGCAGTTGATTTAATATATGAGTTTTAATCATTACAGTCTTAATTTTTTTGTTTTTTTTTTTGTTTTACACATATGTCAATGCAGTGGCACCAAACCCTACGTTAATGTAGAACAACTGTCCTACATATAGAATTGATTATGGGTAGATAAATCTATTTCGCCGGCTTAAACGAACGATCAAACGTATGGTGAGCAGAAAATTGTTTTAAATGCTTGCCCTGCCCATTTTTCTACTTCGGCGCCATTTTATCAATTATTCTTTATCATATTCCGATACCCATACGCACTCATGTACACGAAGATGTGTTATGAATAAAAATGCGATATAGTGAAGAATACGGGTCTTCGGTCTGTATCAGTGGCGGATCCAGGGCTTAATTTTGCAGGGGGCAAAAATTCCAAACTATTTACAACATATAAACAATATCTCACAAATTTATATTTTATAGTACATTTTACAAAACAAAGTCTTTAATCGTATTTATTGAACGTCTGTGTCGACAGACCAGTCTCACCAGAACAATGATAAAGAAACTTAATAATTAATGTGCTATTATTAGACTGACGGGAAATTTTCAGAATTGTAATATTTTACGATGTAACTGTAACTGTAACTCAAGAAATATGAATATCTATGACATAAAATATAGGGAAATTTGGGCGTTTGGGGGGGAATGCCCCCATTGCCTCCCCTCCTTGATCCGCCACTGGTTAAAATGTAATAACACTAATTACTGATTATGGCTGTCATCTGAGGATTTTACCCTTAAAGACCTTTTTATGCATTCGGTTTAAACAGTTTACATCAAGACTTCAGTCGAGAAACACCTCTCATGAATTTAACACACATAGTGATTTTTTGTTTTAATCAACTTCCAATCGTAAAAAAAAAATGTCACAAGATATACTACAATCGGCGCTACTCGATATTTTCTTACAAGATGATGTCGGTACGTGTATGCGTTTTACATAATTATATCATAATATCGTGTTTATGGTAAACTTATTTTAAATTTATTTCACACACATCGTCATTTTTTTAAAATCAACATTCAACAACAACAAAATATGTTGCAAGACATATTGCAATCAGCACTGCTAAGTATTTTCTCACAGGATAATGCCGGTACATGTATGTATTTTACATAATTATATCATAATATCGTGTTTGTGGTAAACTTATTTTAAAATGGCTATCTCGTCACGGTTGTGCGCGCAACAGGTCGATTCCCAGTATAAGTTCATTTTTCCACATATTTTATTATTCAGTCATATCGGTCACTCCGTGCGTATGTTTGCTACCCGCTTAGTCGCAGCACACCACACACCCAATACAAAATCCGTTACAACTGGTAGGCGTAAATTGTCCTATAATATCTCGAATACGCGTAACGACACCCCCTAAACTAGAGTAACCCCGACGCTGTCTTTACACGCGTTTTTGTTCCGTACTCTACCGAACGCTCGTGTTTAGTCATGTAATTTCTTACGGTTAATATCGCATCACCGTCTATTTATATTATTTTGTTGGTGTAATATCTAAACCATTACTGTTTTTTTTTATTAATCATATAGGATTAGACTTTTAAACGTGTATAGAAGAAGAGATGATGCAACAAAACGGTGGATGGAATTGGGAGAACCAAAACCAGTGCACCGGCACCACCATGATAGAAATATTCAGGTATGATCACATATTCGGATTGACATTATGATATATTTTGTTGTGCACTGTGAAGTAAACAATCTAATCACATATTATTCCAGGGAAAATTACGTCAACTGCGCAATTTTCTAAGCGGGAAATTCAAAAGTCAAGGAATTCAGTGTCTTATTATTTACCTATTTAAAATTTATAATAAACAATTGTATTTAAATTTAAAAAAAGCTTCAAACTGAAGATTTATTTTGTCATTGTTATTTGTTACTATACCATTTACTTCTTTGGATGTTCAAACCATAATTAATAGCAATATTAGATGGGTTACTTGAATAACACGTTGTTACATGGTTTTTTTTTTAATAAATACAATTTATATAACTATGTTGTTTGTTTTTTATTTATTTAGTTTGTCAATTATTGAAATATATAATATTATAATACAATAACTTGACCACTTCAAAAGCCTTAAAAAACTTACACACTTTGAGAGAAATACTCCTCGAAGTCTATACATCACTTGTTTGACTTGTGTATGTGTGTCTGTTAGCGGATGCCGTTGAATTGTTTAAATATATATAAGTAATACAATATATGCTAAGCTTATTTATAACTAGTTTTTTTATTTAATCTCCAGATGTTAGCAGAAGCAAAAAGACAGAAAATTGCAATCGCATACAACCTTCTTATTCATAATACCTACTTAATAATAAAATAGACAATTATTCCCTTCTAAACAATATCAACCATATCACATTTAAAATAAATATAAACAAGCATTAATTATCACAGTGTTTTTTATGTGTTCTATTTTTAAACATAGTCTTATGAATTTACTTTAATTATAGATAAGATAGTAACTTATAGTGAACTATAAAATTGTAATTTTTCTATCTGTAATTGATTTCCAATACCTTATTTAATATTTTAACAAACTACATATTTTATATTATAATTACTTTAAAATGCCGAAATGTGAAGTATTTGGATGTAAATATAATACTAGTAGAGGTAAAAATGTATTTACAAATAACAGAATTAGACTTTATAGATTTTTTAAGGACGATTCACACATACAACAATTATGGATTAACTTCTGTGATAAAAAAAAAAAAAAGAAATCAATATAAAAAACGGTAAGATTAATAAAATATAATTAATAATATTCAATTTTAATATTACATAAATATAATTATAATACAATAAAAAGAAAATACACAGAGCCCACATGTGTTTTATCCACTTTGAAAAAGATTGTTTTGAAAAACCACTCATATAGACAATGTTAAACTACTCTCCAAGACAAGTGAGAAAATTGAAGAAAAATGCTATATCAACTATTAAGAGTAGTGGAAAACACAACATTTTAGAAAAGGTAGTTTTTGGTATATTGACAGATGTACTAAGTACTTTAAAAAATAAAGGTAATTATTACCAATATTCATTCCATTATACATTTTTGATTATATTGTTCTTTTTAATATATTTTTTAGGATTGGAAATGTCTCTAAAAGAAAGAGTGACAGTTATTTCTTTTGACGAAATATACATATCCAACAAAATTTGTTTTGACAAAAAAAATGAGTAAGTTTTAGGCCCATTTTAATCTGTACAAACAATTATGGCCAGAGGTGCTTAGTACTTACAGTCAATAGTATAGAATAATTAATTTTATTTTGTATAGAGGATAGCCATTTGTAATAACCTGTAACATAAATTATTTATTTGAATGTATTCTTGTAGGTCTATTTTCAAAATGGAAATAACCTATATTCTATGACTATGACACTCCAATGACAAATTTGTTATTATTGGGAATAATAAGTAAATAGCATGATTGTGGATTTGATGTGGTCGCAACATTTAACGACATGGGTCTGACAAATATTGGATTATGGAAATCATTAGATGTATCAGTTTCACGTACATTTTTCAAACATCCTAATACAAACAATAATATTTATGTATTTGCCGATGTACCCCACTTATTAAAACTTGCCAGAAACCATTTTATTGACAATGGATTTGTTCTAAAAGATGAAAAATACATAGGTAAGACATAAGTACAATATTTGTACTTAAAGTAATTCATACTGATATATTATAAAACAAAGATGCAATTTACTATTATAATTATTGTTTGACAATTTATGATTAGGTAAAAGTATAATTGAAGAATATCTTCAACACAATAAACAAGACCTTGATTATGCATATAAAATCTCGGAGAGGCATTTAAATGTAACTGGATTTCAAAGATAGAATGTTGGACTTGCAGCACAATTATTTTCAAATTCTTTAGCCAATGCAATCATGTACTGTGGACAAAAAGAATTTATTAGAAAAAACAATTGGAATGAAGTAAAATTAATATTATTTTGATATATAATATTATGTCATACACATATATATTATAAATATTAAATTATTGTACATTAATAATTACTTGGTTGTTTCAATTATAGGCAGCATCTACTATACAGCTATTCAATGATTGGTTTGGTGTAATGAATACGAAATTGCCTAAGGATACATTTTTAAGCATTTATGGTTTAGAGTTGGAAAAACAAAATCATATTTTCAATCAAATGAATGAGTTTACTAAGACAATGAGAGTTCATCAGAAGCAAAAAATATACAAGTGTGGAACTCGACCTAAAACAAAATTACATAATGAACAAACGTTGAAACTATTTCAAAAAGGTATTACTTTACATTGCATAAAGAAGATAAAAACATAATATAAGTAGTTAGATAACAATAGACTGTTTTTAGGTATACTTATATCAAATACTTCTTACTGCCAGATTTAAAAAATAGATATGATGACATAGAATATATAATGACCAGACGTCTTAATCAAGATGTCCTGGAAAATCTTTTCAGCTTTTTAAAAGGGATGATGTGTTCAGCATATCAACTAAAATCCCTTGAATTTAAATATTGGTCAGTTCAAATGCGTACATTAATCTAATTAATAATTTCAAAATATAATTTTTTTTATTTTATAAATTAGTTTAAGATATTACTTACTTGGTAAACATTCAAAAGCAGTATTTACTGAAAATTGTAATGCAGAGGATAGTAATGACTAATGAAGAATGTTTATTTCATTGTTTATCAGGTAGTATTATTAAAGACGGAACTGAAATTACTTCAGATGATTTGCCAGATAGCACTTTTGAGAATACTGAAGAATTGGCTACAGTAGAATCTGGTTTAGGTTGTACTCAAATTGAAATTCTTTCAGAAAATATGGATTTACTAAATGATTTTGAATCTGAAGTAAGTGTTATTTAATAGGTAATATAATTAATAATAAAAACAAACCTAGTAACTTAACTTAGACAATTTTATAATAATTATTTACCATCATTTTTTTCTTAGTGTACACAGAGTAATAACATCGTCGAGGAAGATTGATTAGAGTATGTATCTGATTATGTTGCTCATCGTTTTGCAAATGAGTTCCCATGGTTGGCAAAAGGTACATGTTCCATAGAAGATAATGAAAATTCTAAAACTTGGACAGAACAGATCTCTAAAGAAAATTTAACAATACCTGAGCTGTTTAAATCTACAAAAAGATTAGAAGATTAGTTTAATAAATTTCATCGGAATAGTTTAAGCAAAGAATCAAAAATTATTAAGACAGTCACTGAGATGCTACTTAAGAGAGATGAAAATTATGTTGTTAACTTGCCACTTAAGGTTGCAGAATGTCTTGTTCGTACAAGAACATTTATCAGGCTGAATTATCTAAATAAAAAAATATTAGAATTAGCCACAAAAAATAAAATTGAAAAACAAAGAAAACTAAAAAAATTTGGTGTTTTAAAATAAATAAAGAGATAATAATTTATGGTTTAGTTTAAACTTTTTATATAAACCTTTTTTATCTGGCCCGCATTACATTTTAAAATTACATCATACAATTTTAAAGTCGATTGTCTATAGTATAAAAATCGTCTTACAGATGAAACATTAGGCCACCTACTTCGTGTTTCTCTTCCGAAATAGAAGTTGATTTTTCTGCGTTATCATTAGCAGTCATATGTCCTCAAAACTCACATTAAACAAATAGGTACTAATAGTATTATTTATATTTAATTAAATTAATTTTTATAACATTTTTTGTATTAGTATTTTTGTATTTAGTAATAGTATTATTTATATTTAATTATTTATAATAACCTTTTCACTGTTAATATTTACATTATAAACAAAATAAATGCTAAATTAAAATGTATATTTTGAACTTCTGCTTTCAATAGTCTGGCCCGCTAAATTTTAATTTTCTAAATATTGGTCCTCTAATAACTTTCAGTTGCCCATTCCTAATATACAACAATAAACTTAATAAATTATATTATCATCACACAAATGTGAGGCATGGGTACATGTGAAGAATATACCTACGTAAATACAAAATCGCGTGATGTATTTAAAATTAGAATTGGGAAAACAACAGTTGAAACACTTGAAACGGTAACTATTGTACGACTGCTTGTCATACTAAAACTAATCACTAAATATAAAAACATGAAAACTAATTGAAAGCTAAGTCTTAGCTAGTATAATTTTTTCAAGTTCGTTTTTGGTTAACCATAGTGGACGATCTGACATAAATAATCATCTCAAAACAAAAAGACATAGAACATACAAACATGCTACCAATAGGTCGGTACGTACATTTTTTACTCCATTAAAAGCAGACGAAAATGCGTTAAAACTTGCGTCTAAAGAAGTTACATTTGTTTACCATACAATTGTCCATAATCAAAGTTTCAACTCTATGATTTGTACTTCTGAATTAATCAGAAAAATGTTTGATGAAAAAAAATTTACTGCTGCCCGTACAAAAACTAGAGATATTGCAGTAAACGTTATTGCACCGTATGCTGTACAGTTAATAAAAGCCGAATTAGAAAAAGCTAAATATTTTCAATTCTTGTAGACGCATCAAATCATAAAGCTATTAAGTTAGTTCCTGTAATTGTTCGTTATTTTTCGACCACTGCAGGCGTAAAAAACAAAATTCTTGAATTTTCCAATTTACTTGGAGAAACTGAAGAATTAATACATAATCATATTATAAAAAATAAAAGTTATTAATAATGTTGATCTTAAAAACAAAGTCATCAGTTTTTCTGCCGACAATACAAATACAAATTTTGGAGGAATTCTTAGACAGGGTAAAAATAACGTTTTTATCAAGTTGAAAAAATCATTAGATCGTAATATACTTGGTATGGGATGTTTTGCACACATAATTCATAACGCTATACAACAAGCTGCAGATTCACTCCCAATTGATGTCAAAAGCGTTGTTTGCAAAATATATGGATACTTTCATATCTATACTGTTCGTGTAGAAAGTTTAAAAGAGTTCTGTGATTTTGCAGATGTACAATATAATGATTTGTTATCGCATTCCAAAACTGGGTGGCTTTCATTATATCCAGTTATAGACAGGATTATACCTATTTATAGTGGGTTAAAATCATATTTTTTGTCCCAAAATACATGTCCAACTGTTTTAAAATGTTTTTTTGAAAATGAAACTTCTTTTTTGTGGTTCAAATTTGTATCATGCCAACTTAAGTCTATTACTAGTTACATTAAGAAAATTGAGAGTCAAAATTTATCAGCTATTGAAATTATAAAGCTTGTTGAAAATTTATTAAATATAATTAAGAATGAAAGGGAAGAAAAATTTTTGACAACTGAAGTTGAAAACTTATTGGAAGCAATTGAAGAAGAAGGACACATAACTAAACGAGATTTTGACAGTAAATGTGATCGTTTTTATGAAATCTGCTATAATTAAATTTACAATTGGTCTGAATCGAACAATCATAATTCCGGATTAAAGGACTTATTATGGGGGACACTCACTTCAAAAACAATTGTCACATAGAGTAATGCAAAGAATTCAATACGATTTTCAACTACAACTTGTAGTTGTAATACGATTTGTATTGACGAAAATATTTTTTTTGATCAATTTAAAATGTTCGAAAAATATTTCAAAGAACAAAGTGAAGAATGGCATAACATATCACTCGAAGAACGTTGGTTATCAGCATTTAAACATTTTAAAGAACTTAATATAGAATTTGATTGTCTATTAATAGTTGTTGAATTTTTTTTCTCATTACTTGGTTCAAATGCAGCAGTGGGACGTGTGTTTTATTAATGAATAACACATGGACAAAATCGCGAAATAAATTGGATATAAGTACCGTTGAGGCTTCGTTAATAATTAAAACAAGTTTTGATAACATGTCTTGTTGTCAATTTTATGAGTCAATACTTGCCAACAAAACATTGCTTCAAAAAGTACATAGCTCAACCAAGTATCAATACAACACAAACTTTTATACCGACAGAGAACACATTGGACACAGATTAAAAATTGTGTATTTTATTATGTATTCTTTAATTTTTAAAGCGTCAAATATTATTATCTATATAATGTGTATTAAAAATTATATTGTATAATCAGAAATCAATAAAAAAAAAAATTAAAAAAAGTTTTTCCCGGTTTTTGCTAAATAAAATAAGGTAACCCTATTATAGTTTTACTGCAATATCGCAGGTACCGAATATTAAATCATATTACATTGTATAGTATGAATGAATCTTATAAAATAGAAATCAATTTATTTTCTGGATGTTTAATTGGAAAAATTAAATATTTACTGCGTAGAAAAATCTAGTAAAAACGAAAAATCTGAGGTCGGGTTATAATATATATTATAGTCACCCTTTTATATATTTTAGAATTGATGTCAATTAAAGTAGATTTGCTAGGACTAAGTAAAACCTATTTTCTACGGAAAGCCTTATATTTATTTTACTATGTATATTATTATATTTTGCTTATGAAATACAACTCCCAGGTACTTATTTAAATTCTCGTATTAGCTATTAAATATAATATTGGTACTAATCAACTATTGTTTCCTTAAGTTTAACTAGATAGATTTCTAAATTTCCTTGTAATCTTTGTGTACTTAGTTTTTTTCATATTAACTCTTAAAACAAATTTTTCTTTTACTTTCATCATTTTCATCATGATCTTCTTTACTTCATTTTGCGTCTTTCCTATAGATATAATGTTGACGTCATATGCAGGTAGCATGTTTCCACTTCTTATGATTCTATTCGACAAAACTTTTGTACAAGTATACATGAGTATTTGATAAACTAAAAATTATATTATACCTAAGCTATAATATTATAATGGTATAACTTTTGTCACTCTCTTTTGTATAAGTTATAAAAATATGAAAAATATTATACATATATATATATATATATATATATATATATATATATCGCATATATGCTTATTAGTTAGAAAAGTACACTATTGTTAAAAATCTATATGGATAAATATTTTTAGAAATGTAGGTACTTATTATGTTTGAGATTACGAAATAAAAAATGTAGGTTATAATTTATTTAAAAACTTATTTATATACCTGAAATAATGCTTTTCTTAATTATTAGTAAGAAGGGTGAATAAATAATGTAAAAAAAAAATGTTTAAAATTGTACTTACTTATGTAACTTAGGTTTTCTGAACAAAAAATAAAAAATGATAATAATAATAATTTCAATAGCTGATTTTTAAGCATGAATTTTCAAAAGATATTAGTTACTTTTTTTAAGTTTATTTATTATTTATCTTTTTAACCCAATTATCTATAATCAAATAATTATCAATGAAATTCATCTACTTAATTAATTTTATCATATTAAGTTTAAATTTCATAAATAAATTGTCCATTTAATTTTTTTTTTATATTTAAGATGGTCATGTATATATATTGTTTTGTACAAATCAATTTGATTAACTTTGTGTTTAAATTGCAATTTATTTATTCTTACTAAGACCAAATCTTATCAAATAAAATGTTATTGAAATAAATTGATTGATAAGAATATTACATTATGTAATAAATTAGAAAAATAAAAATATTTTTTTTTACTCTCCAGTAAAAACTATTTTTATTAATTGCAGGTCGTATTGTAGGTATTAAATATGTAAATATTTAATGTATCTGTAAATTTCAAAAAAGTTGGAAAAAAGAACGTAAAAAACAGTTATATAAGAAAAAATACTCTTTAATGTTAAATGGTTTTTAAAATCATCTTTAAATTTTGCAAGTTAAAAATTTCACTTAAAAATGATTTTAATGAAATAATACAGTTCGGTTTACAAATTTAAATGTATGGAAGCACAATGAGCCACTCTACTCGATTCACTCATTTCAAGTTTATATTGATGTATCTGTATTAAGGTACTATTATGCTATAAATATGTAATATAACGTTAAATTTATCAAGCTTTTAAGTGTTGACATTAAATTTAGATGTATAGACTTATAGTTGTAATGAAGACTAGGGACTTTTAGGAGTTTGCATGTTTTTCCATAATCATTAAAATTATAGCTATGTATTTATTTCATAGTACTAGAAGTTTAAAGTTAGTAATCATTTTTATTTTGCATATTTTGCATATTCAGCTATTTTTAAATTTTGATTACATATTTAATTATAATTATATTTTAATTATATATTTCACATATTTTATTAAAAAAAATTTAAAACAATATATTACATAAAGAATAATATTTTATACGTATTACACAATATTTAATAATAATTTTCTAAAATTGAAAAAATAGATTAAAATTATTAAATATAAATAATTAAATAATTTATCTACTGAGTGTTTTTCCGATTATT